GGGGTTTGTGCCGAGCAGCTCCTACACCCTCCGCTCCCACCGCAGCTTCTCCGCGATAGCTTTCCCATAGAAACCAGCCCTGCACGACCTGCTTCGTTCACGCGCTGCCAGATACAGCGCGTGCATGGGGGGAATAATGCTATGGCGCCTGATTAAATATGGCTTGGAAACCGGAATGTCATTCTCGGTACAAAAGAAAGAGCTGTAGAGAAGGTGATTCTCTTTTTCTTTGGCCCTTCTCTTATTCAGGCTGGATTGGAAATCACTTCTTGTTCCTCGGTTTTAGTTTTGGTTCTCACCCGCTCCCAAGCCTTATTGCTCCGAGGAAGAATGAGAGGGAAACTACCCGCTTCAGACACATGCACTTCCCCAGCGCCTTCGCAGGAGATGCTCCTTTGTGCAGGGTGGTGCGCCAGCGCTCGCCCCCACGGAAGACTTCTCTTAGCTTTAACCGCTTGGTAGCTGAAATGGACGGCGGCAGCCCTGGCACGGCGGCACCGGGGGGGGTGCCCGCCGGCCCCCCTAATGTGCCCGAGCGCACGTCCCTCCACCTGGCCAGCCCTCCTCCGAGGTGTGCAAAGCCCGGGCGCCAAATGTCCACGTGCTTTTTTTCTCCTTGACTGTTCAACTTCTGCTTCCAGTTTCCCAGAGCTTCCGCCAGCTCTGCCCGTTTTCCAGGAAGACTGGCACGCGCCGGGGGCCCGGCGGCTTGGGCTCACGGCTCCGTGTCTCTCTCACCCGTGTTGCAGGTCAGCCTCAACGACTCCCACAATCAGATGGTCGTTCACTGGGCGGGAGAGAAGAGCAACGTGATTGTGGCCTTGGCTAGAGACAGCCTCTCCTTGCTGGGTCCCAAAAACAGCGACGTGAGTATGCACGGCGGGTCCGAAAGGCCTCTGGGCTAAGTGAGATGCTGGTGGCTCCTCGGCCCTTTGGAGATAGCGCTTGCCTGGCTGCTGTATGTTTGAAAGGCAGAAGAAAGGCCCGTGAGTTAGGATTCAGAGGTAGAAAAAAATAATAATAATTCTCTCTCTTGCCCCAGAGACTCGAGCCCTGGAAAGGCTGACTCAGGCAATTACCGCTCTGCGGCAGACAAATCGAGCGCCAGAGATCGCTGCTCAGTGTTGCCTGTAAATCTGCTTTATGACGGCCCATTATTTCCTGCGATAGCAGAGCTCGGGAGGGAGCAGGAGGCACGCGGGGCTGCCGAGGCAGCCGGCAGGATCCCCGTCGCCGGGGACTGACGGACATCTGCCACCGGTGACGTGGCTGGAGCTGACCCTGCCTTGGGGCAGGGGGACGGACGGGCTGGACCAGCTGCCGAGCTTGCTGCTGGCGTTGCTCTCGGCTCCGTGCCACACAAAAGCGGCAGCCAGGAGGCAGGAGCGGGTCCCAAATTTGGGTGTAATAATAGTGATCTGCGCTCATGCTCCTCTCTTTTGGAGAATCTCCTGCAAATCCAGCTGTAGTGCCTCTTTGCTTGCTTGCTGAAAACAGCTCCCTTGAATACACAGAAATGTGATGCTCACGAGAGGTGGCAGACTGACAGCTCGAGAGACAGTTGCCCTTTTTAGCTGCTGAACGATGCAGTGTGACGGTAACAGCGGAGACTCCCCAGACTGGCCC